AAGGGCCACTTGTTTGCGCTGTTCATAGTGCATCAACGTCCGAATAACTGGTTGATCGGAAATGCCATAACTTTGGTGTTTGTAAAGTTCGTAAGTTTGGGTCGGCCGACTATATCCTATAGCTGTCATATAACTGAACGATTGGAAGTGCCATAACATTGGTGTTTTTAAAGTTAGGAACTTGGGCTTTTCTATGGGTTTTATTTTTACCCTCTGCGAGGGTATGAAAAATATAAAAATAATAATTACTACAAACATACTATTAAGCTGTAGTAACTCAAGCTAATTGACTAACTTGCCAATGATTATTGGACGGAAATATTTACATGCCTACATAAAATGCAAATATTTGTATACAAATGCAAAGACATCTAAGCAATTTTGCTCGGACTGTGCTAAGAAAAACAAGAGAGAACGCTATAGTCGAGTGCCTCGACTATTAGATACCCGTTACTCAGCTAAACAACTTAATATAAATATGCCTTCTTGTAATAAATTGACTAGAAATATTAAACATACATACTTTTATTGGCTAAACACATACATTCTTAATTAGTATTATGTATATTAAAGTCTAAATGTTTGCACAACACGAGTAACGGGTATAGCGAATAGCTTTCTTTGAAAGGAGTTATCTTTGCCGGGCAATTGCAACTGAGTACAATGTAAATACATACATATGTATATGCTTACATAAATACACACATACGCCATTGTTTGACTCAGACCTCCAATTTGGCTAACTTGATTTGATTTGCATAGTTCTTGGGATATAGTTCGGTATTGACAAATGAAAACAAATAAAACAAGAGAGAACGCTATAGTCGGGTGCCCCGAATATCAGATACCCGTTACTCAGGTAAAGGGAGTGCGAGGGAGATGGAGATAGAAACTTTGATCACGCATAACTTTTTAACGAATGGTCCGATTTGAAAAATTTCTTCTACATTTCGATAGGTATTAATAAACACAATAAAACTGCATTTTTACTTTTCCGAAATATTTAAATTTTTAAAATCGTATATTAGCGATTGTGGGCGTTAAAGGGGCGTGGCACCTTTTGAAACAAACTTGCGCTGCGTAGGAACTCCTAAAATCTGCATGCAAAATGCCAATCTTCTAGCTTTTATAGTTTCCGAGATCTCAGCGTTCATACGGACGGACAGACGGACATGGCTATATCGACTCGGCTAGTGACCCTGATCAAGAATATATATACTTTATAGGGTCGGAAACGCTTCCTTCTACCTGTTACATACTTTTGCACGAATACAATATACCCTTTTACTCTACGAGTAACGGGTATAATTAGCGTTGACTCTGTTGAGCACCATGGTCAGCTGTTCCAAAGTCATCCGTTAGATGGCGCCATAAAAGGCGGAAATGTAGGCGCTAGCCAGGCTAAAGCGTTTAATGGATTTTTGGGCGTTAGAGTGGGCGTGGCAAACTTTTATTAGGCCAATCGATATTTATTGACGAAACAAATACATATCAATTAAAATTTTCATAATATCATCAAAACTGTGGCCACAGCTTGTGGCTTATGGGCGTCAGAGGGGGCGTGGCACCATTTTGAAACAAACTTGCGCTGCGTAGGAACTCTTCAAATCTACATGCAAAATGCCAATCTTCTAGCTTTTATAGTTTCCGAGATCTCAGCGTTCATACGGACAGACAGACGGACAGACAGACGGACATGGCTAGTTCGACTCGGCTAGTGATCCTGAACAAGAATATATATACTTTATAGGGTCGGAAACGCTTCCTTCTACCTGTTACACACTTTTGCACGAATACAATATACCCTTTTACTCTACGAGTAACGGGTATAATAATTTAACTCTAGGATCTCTAGAACTCTAAAAGCACGTACGAGGTGTGTTCAAAAAGTAAGGTGACTTTTCAAATTTCGCGGGCAACATATTTTCGATTATCGATTTTTTTGTTTTGTTATATTGGTACACTCTGCCTAACTTCTCAAGTTTCAATGGAACATCCTCTTTGTTTGGTTGTGAGAGGCGTAAAGTTACAAGTTATTTTGCGAGCTCGGCGATTTTTGCTATCGAAAAATATGGATCAAAGGATTTGCATCAAATTTTGTGTAAAAAAAAAATTAAGTGCTCTGAAACACTTGAAATGTTGACAGTGGCATACGGTGAAACTGTTCTGAGTAAAAAAATGTGTACAAGTGGTACAAACTCTTCCAAGATGGCCGGGAAGATGCCAATGACCAGCCTCGCTCTGGACGCCCAAGCACGTCAACAACTGATGAAAACGTTCAAGCAGTGACGAAAATTGTTTTGGAAAATCGTCGAATCACTATCAGAGAAGTTGCTGAAGATGTCGGTATATCGCTTGGCTCGTGCCATGAAATTTTTTCAAACGTTTTGGGTATGAGTCGTGTCAGCGAAGTTTGTTCCGAAATTGCTGAATTTGAGGCTGGTCATTGGCATCTTCCCGGCCATCTTGGAAGAGTTTGTACCACTTGTACACATTTTTTTTACTCAGAACAGTTTCACCGTATGCCACTGTCAACATTTCAAGTGTTTCAGAGCACTTAATTTTATTTTTTACACAAAATTTGATGCAAATCCTTTGATCCATATTTTTCGATAGCAAAAAATCGCCGAGCTCGCAAAATAACTTGTAACTTTACGCCTCTCACAACCAAACAAAAGAGGATGTTCCATTGAAACTTGGTACAGATGTTAGGGAAGAGTGTACCAATATAACAAAACAAAAAAATCGATAATCGAAAATATGTTGCCCGCGAAATTTGAAAAGTCACCTTACTTTTTGAACACACCTCGTATAAATAGAAGCTCGTTTCGATCTAGAGGTAGTTATAGTTCCAACCAAAGCACCATGCAGTTCTCTACCTTCCTGATGGCCATGTTGGTGGTTACCACTCTGATGCTGTTCAGTGCTCCAGCAACTGAGGCCACCTTCCTCCTCATCGCTTGCCTGCTGCGGTCACCATTGTGCCCATGGGTCACCACTGCAACAACTGCCACCACCAAAAGTGGTTAATTGGACTATAGCTCACATTTGATACGATTCCCAAAACATGGACCTACACTAAATAAAATAATTTTTCTGTTGCATTACATTATTGCAATTTTAACTTAGCACCTATAAATCAAGCCGGGAACTATTCCATATGTTACAAAACGGAATTAGAGAACATTTTTGTCTTGTATTTTCTTCAAAAATATCATTAGCATTCAATTCAATTCAATTCTTCGTTCACATTTGAAATGCAATTACTGCACTAGTTAGCTAAGACTATGTTCAATTCCATTGGTAGTTTTTGCATTACTGATATTTTGCAGGGTGCATATGGCCAATTTGGCGACTCATTGAATGCGATTGGTAACGGTGGACTGTTGGACGTAGCTGGCCAACCATTCACCCACCTGGGCCTTGTTCACCGTTAGCTATTTGATGTTGGGCTCCTCAGATTCCAGCGCCTGTTGGCTGGCCGCAGTTCCGGCTCCCACCGCGGGATACTTGGTGAAGAACGGCTGCATCTCCTCTAGCTCCATGTGCGTGGAGAACCGAGCTGTGAGCGTAGAGTAGTCCTGTCGGCGTACTTTGCTCTCGTTGATATATAGCTGCAGTAACCATGGCACCTGCACGGCGGCCAGGTAGCTCCTCAAGCTGTTCATCATCAAGGTACAGCTTCAACACCTGATCCCAGGCAGCATCCGTGTTCATCTGCTGCAGAGCAAGAAGGATAGATCTCTTTCCTAGCTTAATTTATTTTTTTATTAGTAATGGACTTTTATTTAGATCGCATATATACTTGCTTATTAAAATCGACTTTGAATGACGATGGTTCAGCTTTGGCTGCGTAGTCATCCTCATTGGCTTGGAAACGCGGTTGGTTGAGCTTGTACGTGTTGCCACCTTTCTCCACCTTCACAACTGGAAGCCCCATTTACCTCGTCCAGGCTTACATGATCTGTCTGCAAGATACAAGAAGAAGAAAAACAAGAAAGGAATCAAACTTCGGCAAGCCGAAGTATAAGCCGAATATAACCTTACAGTTATAACAAAACGACTACATTTCGATTTCTATGCGAATATTACTAAAAACAATGAAGCTATTTTTCCATCGTTTCTATGGCAGCTAATTTAGGCGTAATTTTGATATAGTAAATAATTATTTAATCTCAAAGGAATATTTTGGTAAAGAAAAAACAGCAAAATAAATATTTTTTTAATTTTAATTTTTTTATTTATGATGGTATCTATGGAATCATAGTATTTAATCAAATCCCAAGGAATACAAAATAATTAGTTTTTGTCGAAATCGCACAACAATATCATATAGCTGCCACAGAAACAATGGCAAAATGCAGAGCCAAATCAACATAGCTTCACTGTATTTAATAATATAGGCATAGAAATCGAAATGTAGTCGTTCGATCGTGCCGATCGGACGTCTATATCCTATAGCTTCCACAGGAACAAAAGGGTGAAATCGGTTAAAATTTTATGATTTTCAAGATATTTCACACAGTATTTAAGCTATTGACATGAATCTTTCCAAATTGTATTTTTTATGCATTCCTTGATCAAGGTAAGCGCGTGTGCCGATCGGACGTGTATTTCTTATAAATTATTGTTAAAGGCGGCGAAAATATTCCTTTTTCTTATTTTTATATGACGTTTTTGCAGTATAAAAGCTAATGACATGAAACTATGCAAATCTAATTTATTTATGTATACCCTATTCTTTTCGCTACTTTTTCAATTTTAGCAATTTCGGCAAAGTCTGCAAAGTCTGGTATTAAAACTTCAGCTTGCCGAAGAAAACTTCCGTCCTCGTTTGTTCTCATATTTATTCCATATCCGCAGTTTAATGTTTGTATTATATTGCTGCATATTTGCTAATTACATTTTACACAATACACGCTACAGACAGATAAACAAATGTTGAAATAGCTTAATTCATACCCATTTTATACGACGCGTGGCTCTAGTTAAACTTGGCAGCAGTTAGCTTCCACAATCTACTGAACTTTTGCGAAAGATGATCATTCGGCAAGCTACTAGAAAGCTGAGAGGCTGGAACTTTCCGTTTCGCAAGTCTAAGTCCCGACTCTTTCAAGTTCTACGCTGCTTTCTCCTTTTTCTTTTAATTGATGGAATTATAAATGGTTACCGGTTTCGAAATTACTACTACCGCCTCGGTAAATAAAAGTTTTTGGTTTTAAGATCGAAAATGTTTAATAATGTTTGCATTTCAGCTCTAATTCCAGACTGGCCAGCCGACTCGCTTGACTTAAGAGATTATATATGGCCAATGGATGACACAGATATTATTATACCACGTGGTTTCTGTGAAGAGAAAACCTTTTTGCTCATTGTCATAGAGTCAAGCGTTAACAACTTCTTAAGACGTCAGGATATTCGGGAAACCTGGGGAAACACATCCTCCTTCAACTATCCAGTCTTTAATAAACTCCATGAGCACTTGAGGGGCTCTTATTACCCTCCTCTAAAAAGTAGGATACAGCACTATGCCGAGTTCCTCACAGGCGAGGATGATGTCCTTCGGGCTTCTGTAAGGGTGGTGTTTATCACTGGACGGAGTAAGGACGTCCAGTACTCGAGGCCACTTCAAATGGAAGCCGATCGGCACAACGACATAATTCAGGAGGGCTTTATTGACAGCTACAATAACCTGACTTTAAAATCAGTAATGGCACTGAAACACTTGAATAACATGTGCTCCAAGACCACAGCTTATGTGTTCAAGGCGGATGACGATACCTTCGTAAATGTTCCCAATGTTGTTCACATTTTACTTGGAGGAACTGTTCCGGTTTACAAGGTGTCCAAGAAAAACCCAATAGGTCATCAATCCCGATTAACGGCCACAAGCGGATTGATGGTGGGAAGGAAACGGGACGGAGAAAAACCCATTAAGGATATGAACACAAAGTTCTACATGCCCGCCTATATCTTCCCAAACACTACCTTTCCCGAATGCCTGTCCGGCGGAGGCTATCTAATGTCCATGGATGTCGTGCAGCGATTGTATGTGGCTGCCATTCGTACCAAAATAGTCCACATGGAGGACGTATACGTCACAGGACTCTGTGCTCAGCGGGCTCGGGTCATTCCCGCACACAACTCACTCTTCCGCATTTTTCCCTCAAGGAACCTATGCACCTATAAGGATACCATTACTTTGCAGTTGCCACAGGGGGTCAGTATGCACATGGTGTGGGACTTTGTTTTGAACTTCAGAATAAAATGTCCGCTAAATCTTAAACAGATTTATAAATTTGAAGATTATGAATAAATATATATTTGGACGATATAAGTCGTATGCTTTTAAACTAAAGGGTGTTTTGGAAACATAATTTTTAAACGGACATGGCTAGATCGACTCGCCTGGTGATGGTCATTAAGAATATATACACTTTATAGGGTCGGAATTTTCCCTTTCACTGCATTGCAAACTTTTGACTGAAATTATAATAACCTCTGCAAGGGCATCATCAATCGACATCATAGCCTTGAGAAACTTGTCCTTTAAACAATCCATTTTGAGTTGTTCATTTATATTGTTTTTTGTTTGATTTTGCAGAGCTCGTCCAATTTGTAATATTAAAAATGAAGTAATGAAAATATATCATAGAATAAATTGTTCTGATAATAAAATTTAAAAAAATTAAAAATATTCTGCTCAGGTTTTAACTATAAGCATACTTTTAGTACTAGTAACCCAGGCCAATTGATTAACTTTTCACGGATTACTGCAGGGAAATATCCATTTTTTATTTTAATATTTACATGCATAAATAAAGAGCAAATATTTGTAAGCAATTGCAGAAACATCTAAGCAAACTTGGTCGAACTGTGCTAAGAAAGACTGTTTAGTTGTAGGAACTCTAGAAGCACGTATAAATAGAAGCTCGTTTCGATCTAGAGGTAGTTATAGTTCCAACCAAAGCACCATGCAGTTCTCTACCTTCCTGATGGCCATGTTGGTGGTTACCACTCTGATGTTGTTCAGTGCTCCAGCAACTGAGGCCACCTTCCTCCTCATCGCTTGTCTGCTGCGGTCACCATTGTGCCCATGGGTCACCACTGCTACTACTGCCACCACCAAAGCTTAAATAACAGGTCTATCGACGATTCAGCTCACATTTGATACGATTCCCAAAACATGTACCTACACTAAATAAAATATTTTTCTGTTGCATTATATGATTGCAATTTTAACTTAGCTACTATAAATCAAGCCGGGAGCTTAAAAAAGTGTATGTAGGGGCCAACTATTCCATATGTTACAAAACGGAACTAGAGTACATTTTTGTATTGTATTTTCTTCAAAAATATTATTAGCATTCACAATTCTTCGTTCACATTTGAAATGCAATTACTGCACTAGTTAGCTAAGACTATGTTCAATTCCATTGGTAGTTCTTACATTACTGATATTTTACAAGGTGCATATGGCCAATTTGGCGACTCATTGAATGCGATTGGTGACGGTGGGCTGTTGGACGTAGCTGGCTAACCATTCACCCACCTGGGCCTTGTTCACCGTTAGCCATTTGATGTTGGCCTTCACCGTTTCCAGTGCCTGTTGGCGAGCTGCAGTTCCCGCTAACGCCTCGGAATACTTGGTGAACTGCTGCATCTCCTCCAGCTTCGTCTGCTTTATTCACCTGCTGCAGACCATGAAGGATATATCTCTTTCCTAACTTAATTTGTTTTGTTTTTGCTAGTTATGGACTTTTCTTTAGATCGCTATATATTTGCTTATAAAAATCGACTTTGAAGCATCCTCATTGCCATCTTTTGCATGATCTGTCTGCAAGACCCTTGCAGTTATTACAAAACGACTAAATTTCGATTTCCATGCCAATACTACTAAATACATTGAAGCTATTTTGTCATCGTTTCCATGGCAGCTATATGATATTGTTGTCCCAATTTGACAAAACTAAAAGCATAATTCTAATATAGTAAATAATTACTATATCTCAAAGGAATATTTGGCTAAATAGAAAAACAGCAAAATAAATATTTTTTTAAATTCTTATTATTTTGTAATTTTTCGATTTTTTTATGGGAGCTATATGATATAGATGTCCGATTTTAATTTAATTAAAAACGTAATTCCATAGTATTTAGATATTATCGAGTCCCAAAGAATACAAGAAAAAAATTAACAAGAAAGAAAAGCTAACTTCGGGCGGAGCCGAAGTTGATATACCCTTGCAGAATATTCTGTAAATTATATTCTCCAAAACTATTCATATGATGCATTCTTAATACTCATAAAAAATCCCAACTTCTTAACTTTAAAAACACCAAATTATGGCACTTCCGATCGTTCAGTTATATGGCGGCTATGGGATATAGTCGGCCGATCCATTTGTGGGTGGGATTGATTGGCCAAAAATAAAGTCCGTAGAAAATCCCAACTTCCTAACTTTACAAATACCAAATTTATGGCATTTCCAATCGTACAGTTATATGACAGCTGTAGGATATAGTCGGCCGATCCTTAGGAAATTTGGTAAATTAAAATCGGACCTCTGTATCATATAGCTTCCAAAGGAAAATACAAAAAAATAAATATAAATTTAAAAAAAAAATTAATTTTTCTGTCCCTTGCTTATCAAAATATTCCTTTGAGATATAGTAATTATGCACTTTATCAGAACTACGCTTTTAGTTTTGTCAAAATCGACAAGAATATCATATAGCTGCCATGGAAACGATGGTAAAATAGCTTCAATGTTTTTATTAATATTGGCATTGAAATCGAAATATTGTCGTTTTGTAATAACTGCAAGGGTATATAAACAATGGCTTGCAGAAGTGTGCTTCCTTTCTTATTGCTTTTTTTATTCCATATCCGCAGTTTCATGTATTTATATATATCATTATATTGCTGCACATTTGCTAATTACATTTTATACAATACACGCTACAGACAGATAAACAAATATTGAAATAGCTTAAGTCATCTCACCCATTTTATACGACGCGTGGCTCTAGTTTAACTTGGCAGACGTTAGCTTCCACAATCTACTGAACTTTTTCGAAAGATGATCATTAGGAAAACTATTAGAAAGCGGAGAGGATGGAACTTTCCGTTTTGCAAGTCTAAGACCCGTCTGTTTCAAGTTCTACGCTGCTTTCTCCTTTTTCTTTTAATTGATGGAATTATAAATGGTTACCGTTTTCGAAATTACTACTACCGCCTCGGTAAATAAAAGTTTTTTTAAAAGCGAAAATGTTTGATAATTTGCATTTCAGCTCTAGTTGCCGACTCGCAGATATTATTATACCACGTTGTTTCTAGAGAAACGGGAAAACTTTTTTGCATTGTATGTGGCTGCCATTCGTACCAAAATAGTCCACATGGAGGACGTATACGTCACAGGACTCTGTGCTCAGCGGGCTCGGGTCATTCCCGCACACAACTCACTCTTCCGCATTTTTCCCTCAAGGAACCTATGCACCTATAAGGATACCATTACTTTGCAGTTGCCACAGGGGGTCAGTATGCACACGGTTTGGGACTTTGTTTTGAACTACAGAATAAAATGTCCGCTAAATCTTAAACAGATTTATAAATTTGAAGATTATGAATAAATATATATTTGGTCGATATAAGTCGTATGCTTTTAAACTAAAGGGTGTTTTGGAATACATCATTTTTGAACATCAGGAAACATCATTTTTAAACGGACATGGCTAGATCGACTCGCCTGGTGATGGTGATTAAGAATATATTGTATATACTATAGGGTCGGAATTTTCCCTTTTTCTGCAAACTTTTGACTGAAATTGTAATATCCTCTGCAAGGGCATCATCAATCGACATCTTAATCCTGGAAAAGTTGTCCTTTAAACTATCCATTTTAATTTGTACATATATTTTGATTTTGTTGTTGATTTCGAAGAGCAATTTGTAATATTTTAAATGATGAAATGAAAATTTATCACAGAATAAACTTTTTTCTGATAATACAATTTTTAAAATTAACAAGAGAGAACGCTATAGTCGGGTGCCCCGGCTATCAGATACCCGTTACTCAGGTAAAGGGAGTGCGAGGGAGATGGAGATAGAAACTTTGATCACGCATAACTTTTTAACGAATGGTCCGATTTGAAAAATTTCTTCTACATTTCGATAGGTATTGATAAACACAATAAAACTGCATTTTTACTTTTCCGAAATATTTAAATTTTAAAATCGTATATAAACGATTGTGGGCGTTAAAGGGGCGTGGCACCATTTTGAAACAAACTTGCGCTGCGTAGGAACTCCTAGAATCTGCTTGCAAAATGCCAATCTTCTAGCTTTTATAGTTTCCGAGATCTCAGCGTTCATACGGACAGACAGACGGACAGACAGACGGACAGACGGACATGGCTAGATCGACTCGGCTAGTGACCCTGATCAAGAATATATATACTTTATAGGGTCGGAAACGCTTCCTTCTAGCTGTTACATACTTTTGCACGAATACAATATACCCTTTTACTCTACGAGTAACGGGTATAAAAATATTCTGCTACAGTTT